AACAAGTCCTCTACATCACTTCTCACTAATGAAAGAGTCGGACAAGCATGAGAGTCAGAAGGAGGCTTTATGGACGAGATATTTCGAACATGGTGGGGGGAAGGTAAATGCTGTCGAAGCTCTGGAAGAGTGGATGGTTGATCTTTCTCAGCTGTACCTTGGGCATAGGTTTGCTTCTGGAGCTCATAGCAAGTTGCATCATGGTATCTATAAGGATCAGCCAGTGGCAGTAAAGTTTATCAGACAACCTGATGATGACGAAAATGGGATGATGACTGCTCGCCTTGAGAAACAGTTCACGAGGGAAGTCACTCTTCTCTCTCATCTCTATCACCGAAATGTGATTAAGGTACTTCTGTTATTTAATGCCTCTGTTATGGGTTCTTCTTCGGTATGTTATTATACCTTTGGATAGACTGCGAAGGCGCACAATGATCTGACAACAATTTATTGCTTTGGATACATCAGTTGTATGCTGAACTACAATTACTCCTGAATTTTGTAAAAGGAAGAAATGTTATTTAAAAAAAATGCATGTAAAACAAACACAAAACTTAAGGTTTTCTCATGAGTTTTTTTTTTTTTGGTCTTGTAATTTGCATTATTAGTTTGCTTGTCAATTTCTCATAAGTCATTGTATCTGTTTCTATAGGATACCAAGTGTGGATCTTATTATGTGAACCGTGGACATTATTTCATGAGACTCTGATTTCCTTCATTTGGTTGACCATGCTTCAAAATTGATTTGTGGTCGACCGTTTCTCGGTAGTTGACCCTTGAAATATATGTCCTAAAGGCCATGATCTTTGCACGCTCTAGATTTTTCTTACGTTCCTACATTTGTAATAGAAAATACTTTATATACGCTACATTCTCAACTTTATGCACATTATGAGCACTTTCCTAATTCTCCTTGAATCTTTATCAAGGAATAAAAATAAATGCTGATGTAACACTACTTTCTGGCTTTACAGAACAAGTAATGAATGCATATTGCATGGTTTGTAAAACTTCGATTGAAAAAATATAATCAAAACAATGTCCAACCTCTGAAAGATTCGACTGCACTGCAGAAAACGAATGTTAATATAGCAAGGAGTTTAGTTGCGTTTGATTATGCAGGGATTATAGCAGACATTTTTTTGCATTCCAGTTCATGTTTTGACTTCAGCTAGGTTCTAATGCTGAGGATATATCCTTTTGCATTTTCTCTCTGTTATTCAGATGTACCGTGATGTCCATCCTCATATCTTATTGTATATTTTCTTTGATGCAGCTGATAGCGGCATTTAAAAAACCACCAGTCTTTTGCATTATCACTGAATTCCTTTCAGGAGGGTCACTGAGAGCATTCTTACACAAACTCGAACACAAATCTGTTCCTCTACAGAAACTTATTATGATCGCTCTGGATATTGCACGGGGAATGGAATATATTCACTCGCAAGGGGTTATTCACCGGGACTTGAAACCTGCGAACATTCTTTTTGATCAAGAATTGTGTGTAAAAATTGCTGATTTTGGAATCGCTTGCGAGGAGGCTTATTGTGATACTTTAGCAGAGGACCCTGGAACTTTTCGTTGGATGGCACCTGAGATGATTAAACACAAGCCTTATGGACACAAAGTCGACGTCTACAGTTTTGGGTTGGTCCTATTGGAGATGGCAACTGGAAGTATCCCTTATGAGGAGATGACACCTATCCAAGCGGCTTTTGCTGTGGCTAATAAGGTATAATTTGCGACTTTGATTTTTACTTTCAATTTTCTCATCCTTTGCACTTATGTAATGGACCTGCATAATTATTATCATGAATTTGTTCTTGCAAGCCTGCAGTTATTTTTGTCAGGATTTGTGGCACAGGGATCATTAGGAATTGTCAAATGGGTTGGTTGACGATGTTTGTGGCTTCTTTCTTTCCCTTTTAGAGATTGTTTTCAGTTAGAACTGTGTGTGCATCCTGGATTCATCGTCTTTCTTAATTAGCTTTGTCGTATGTTACCGTCGTGCATGGACCATGAATGTGGTGTTATCTATAGTTTCTGCTTGAATCAATGAGGAAAAATAAATGTTACCATGCTTGATGTGTTGTCCTACATTAAATTCATGAAACATCCAGTTTCTAATCTTTCGATGTCCTTCAAATCTGATGATACAAATGGATGATAGAAAGATAGCAGTTGGCTGTAGAAATTTATACATTCCTGATATGATCAATTGGTATTTGTCAGAACTTGCGGCCTGTTGTTCCCCCTGAGTGCCCGGCAGCCTTACGAGCCTTGATCGAGCAATGCTGGGCGCTCCAACCAGACAAAAGACCTGACTTTTGGCAGATTGTGAAGGTTTTGGAACAATTTGAGTCTGCTCTCGCTCAAAATGGCACGCTTGACACTGTTGCAAACATGAACTGCGAAGATCATAAGAACCGACTTCTTCACTGGATCCAAAAGCTCAAACCTACACATGCTGATGGGTATGGGTCAGGGCTTCCGATCACCAAGCTTTCGCCTTCCATGCCCAAACTCTTGTAGCGCTTGCTCGGCTCGTGCTTCTGGATTTTGTTTCTTCACCGTGTAATCAACTATCTTGTCTGTTTTAGTGCCACACCGGGGAAATCTGCATGAGTGACAATGTACATAGATTGACTTGTTGTTACTAGGATCCCATCCGTGTGGGGAACTATCACTGATCTAACCAACCATTCCCTGCTTGTTTAAGTTGATATACAGAAGGTTCTTGTGGACTCTCTTTCAGACTTCATACTGTAACTATATGTATGCATATGCAATTTTGTGTTGGGCAGCTGTGGCTCTGCAACATACTAATAATACCCAGCTATGTTGAGCTTCTCAGATCATTTCGAAGAACATCGGCTTCTTGGACATGACTGGTTGTTCCTTTTTGCTATATGATTTGCCTGCTTGACACACATCTCATAAGTGGAACCATTCGAGAATTCAGTTCTATCTGCTGAAGAGGCTTTTTATGTAAAGCAAAGTAGAAACAGTGTGGAGGCAAGAGAGAAATGCATCTCCTTTTAAGAATTTACCATTCCTGACAGATGACAATATGACCCTGCATCTTTCATGGATATTTCGAATTGAAGTTGTGCAGCTAAGTTTATCTATGTAAGGAGGTAAGAACTTAAGCTTTTCTATATATATATATATAGTACTCTGAAGATTTTGGACTTTAGAGGGAAAAGCTTCACAAGATAAGTAAATCCCAATCCTCAGCATGCATCTGATGTTTTCATTTGATCTGATATGCGAAGAGAGATGGTGGTTTGGATGACCCATCTCTCTTGATCCAAACATGTTTCTATAAGAACTATAATTGGTTGGCATATTAAAACTAATGAAGATCAAGGTCCAAATCAGGTTAAGGAAGATCAGAATTCTAAGTCTCGAAAATAGTTTCTTTATATTTAGAGTAAAATTATGTATGTACATTAACTCTCTGTAGATCTTATTATATAGATGAAAGCTTCATTTGGTACAATTTTTATTTTCTTGAAACTAATGGAGAACATGAATCATGGAGAGTAGACTGACCTTTAAACCTTTTTGAGGAGAATGTTGAACCTTTAGCTTTAAGTCGAAGCTTCTTTTCAAGCATGCATGAAGGTTGAAGCATCTTCAAGCAATAATAATTGGCTAAACAAGTCTCTAATCCCAAAAGAGAAGGATACAGTCCAGCTGGTATTCTTATCATGTTTTCACACATCTTACATATCTTATTCCTGGGAGATGAAGCTTTGATCTGCCAACAACAAACAATAGAGTTGGGTTAGTAGGTGTAAGTTGATGAAGCTGCATCCTACCGGCGATTAAAAGTTGCAGTCTCCACTTGGTCTGCACCTCACCTCAATCGAAGGAGCAAACAGGGGTCATTAGCTCTGAAAACAAGCAAGAAAGATTCAACAAAAGAAACAAAGAAGACATCAGTACAACAGAATAAAGAAAGAGGTATCCTTTGGAAGAACTAAGAGGTACTTACTTTTGTACTCACCACCATCGTTAAAGCGAGGGATTGATGAAGGCGAAGCAGAGCATCATCAGGCCACGGTGTAACGTGATACGCAAGCAAAGAAAAGTGCATGCTTTTGAAGGGAAAGGAAGGCACACATGCTTCGACTTCTGATCTCATCATGGTAGAAAAGCAACTAAAATATATGAGTCAACAGTGTGGCTGATTTCTCTCTCTGTAAGCAACCTATATATATATATATATATATATATATATATATATATATAAAATTTTATCTTTATGATCTTATGCTCCATGCTTTTTCTCTTTCTATTTAATGATTAATTAAAAATTATCGATCAAAATTAAAATCAAAGTTTTAATTTGAAAAAAAAAATAAAAAATATCTATTTTGTTTACCAATTTTATATCAATCTAGTATATGATGATTTCACGTACTCTATCTTCTGTCAAAAGTTTTAGAGAAAATAAATTTAGTTATTTTATTTTTTATAATTACGAGAACTCAATATAAATTTTGTATAAGATCAACAACAATACTAAAGGCTTGAAGTACAAAAGCCAAAAGGTGATATGTAATGAGTGAAGTCAGGCCTATGATCTCATCGATCCAACTATGTTGACAGTCTGGAGAAATGTGCTTCAGAAAGAATATTTTAAAGGAGAGGGATTGGGGAGAACCAAAGATTACTCTTTAGGTTGCCAAAGCCTGTAATCTGTGTCAGTGATTCTTTCTCTCCCTTTCACCAAACATACACATAAAAGCTGAAGTGTCAACAGTGTTTCTTTCTCCCCCTTTAGGGAATCTCTGCTCTGCAGCTCGGAAAAAGATGCTGAAAAAGACAGCAGCTGACAGCATTGTGATAGATTTTGATATCGTTGTTGAATCTTCTCAAACTGTGTACCATCTGAAAGCTCCATGTTTAACCTACACCAAACACTGGTGAAATCCTCAGATACGCAGCAATCTGATAGAAGAGTCCTTTCCTTTCACTTGGAACAGGTCAAGTGACAACTAAGATCTTTACTTTCAATAAGGAAGAACATCTTTACATAGCTTTGATTGATCTATCCCATCACACAAGAACCCTAGAGAGTGAACTCTCTTCACCTTTCCCATATTATTACTTAGCAGCTACTCATGCAAACATCCCCAAGCAAGTCTCTGACTTTACTGTCTTCATCACTTGTACTATTTACATGCATGCGTCAAGCAGCAGCTAGTAAATCCATGTGGCTCTCGTAACCTTGGAAAGCCATGACGACGTCTTCCCTTCGAATCCAACCAAAAGTTTCACCGCCTCCTTCATGGATGGCCTCTCAGCCGAAGTGCACCGGACAGCCAAACCCATGGCTCCGATCATCTCGTCTCTGTGCTGGCTGACCTGTCCGCTCATCGCAGGGTCGATCCACGCCTCCACGTGGCGCTCGCGGTAGCAGTAGCGGGCCCAATCCACTACGCCTCCGGAGCCTCCTCCCTCCTCGCCGTCGTGGTGGCGCCGCCCGGTCAGTAGCTCCGCCAGCAGCACGCCGAAGTAGTAGACATCGGTCCTCGCCTCCCCTGGTGTACGTGCATGGTAAATATCAGCGGATGATAGGGGCATTATCGTCCGACAAGTGTCATAAGCACGCGTTACGGCATAATTGCGTTAATATCGGTACCTGGACGGACGTTGGCGACGTCGAGCACAAGGCGAGGCTCGCCGTCGCCGTCCAAAACCACGGTGTCCGCCGTCAGCACTGCGCCGAGTAAACCGCAGCGGTGAAGGTGGCGGAGGCCCTTTGCGACGCCGAGGGCGACTCGATGACGCTGCTTCCAGCTCAAATCCCTCATCGCGACGCCCAAACATCTCGCGCCGGCGGTCGGCTCATACACAAACACCCACCTACTCTCCGACCTGCATGCCGCAACAAATCCGGCCACGTTGCGGTGCCTCGACCTGCCCAACTTCGTCACCTCTGCCCATCCTAACCCCGGCACCTCCTTCACCTCCCTGACCGTGAACCACCTCCCTTCACCATCGCTGTTGCTGACAGCTCCACTCTTGGCGTTCTTGATGGTCCTCAGGATGGCTTCCACCGTTGACAAAGTTCCGTCGAAAACCCGCACCTCCCAGACGACGTTACTGTCAGTCTCCGCCTTCTTTATCTCGAACTCTCCGCCTCGCCACCACTTTCTGGCTAGAAAGGTCAAGATAACGGAGAGGAAGATGATGACAAGTGCCGCAGCCAGAACCGTGACCGGGAACCACCACGGCGTCTTCGCGGAGGCGGCCTCGCATGGCAGGAGACCGGTCTTGGGCCCACCGCCGCAGAGGCCCGAGTTCCCGACCAGCGAAGCTGCCTCCACAGAGAAAAACGCTTCGGTCGCCGGGACACCACCGATGAGCCTGTTGTGAGAGACGTTGATCGACACCAGCGCGCCGGTCTTGCCCAAACTCGGCGGGATCTCTCCGGAGAACCAGTTCTCTGACAGGTCCAGGGCGCTAAGGACCGGTAGATCAGCGATGCCAGTCGGGATCTCGCCGGAGAGGTGGTTCTTGCTGAGGTCCAGTCTCACCAATCTCTTCAACTCGCCAATCGATTCCGGGACCACACCAGAGAGCCGATTACCGCTGAGATTGAGATCCGATAGTTCAGTGAACAGCCTGAATCCCGCCGGGATGCCGCCGGCGAACTGGTTCTTGGACAGATCGAGGTGCTCGATTTCGTCACCCCCGAAGGACTCCGGCAGGGGCCCGGAGAACTTGTTTCCTGCGATGCTCAGCATCCGCAGCGCCGGCATCTCCCACCGCAGGCGGCTAATCTCTCCGGAGAACCCGTTCCCTGAGGCGTCGAGGTAGTAGACCGCGGGGAGCCGGGCGAATTCCAGCGGTATCTCGCCGGAGAGCTGGTTGTTCTCGATCCGGATCCTCTCCAGGGTGCGGCACCGGCTCAGACCTGGGGGGATGCCGCCGTGGAGGGCATTGGAGAAAAGGATGAGCTTCACCAGACGGAGCGAGTAGCAGAGGTGCTCCGGCACCCGGCCGGTGAGGTTGTTCGAGGAGACGTCGAGGACGGCGAGGTCGTCGTTTCCGAGGCCGAGCGAGCTCGGAATCGGTCCCTGGAACCGGTTCGACCACAGCTGCAGGACTTGGAGCTGCCGGATCGCCCCGAGCGAACTGGGGATGGCCCCCTCGAACCGGTTCGAGAATAGGTGCAGCACCTCGAGATTCTCGAGACGCACTACGTCCTCCGAGACCTCGCCGGACAGCTCGTTCTGGCTCAAGTCCAACGCGATCATGGCCGTCAGATTATAAACGGACGGTGGGATGGGGCCCGACAAGAGGTTCCGGTACAGGAAAAGGTACTGTAATTTCCCCAGGTTCCCGATCGAGCCGGGGATCCCTCCGGTGAGATTGTTGTACACGAGGTCGAGGTGCTCGAGCGCCGTCAGGTTCCCGATCTCCGGTGGGATCTCGCCGGAGAGGTTGTTGTACCCGAGATACACCCATCGGAGGGCTGTGATCTCGCCGAGCTGGGCCGGGATCGGCCCGGTGAGCTCATTGGAGGCCAAGGTCAAGAATTGCAAGCTCCGAAGCTCGGAGATGGAGATGGGGATTCGTCCTCGGAAGTAATTCCCACCAAGATCCAGGACCTTGAGGCGTGAAAGATGGAAGATTTCGTCGGGTATCGGCCCAGTGAGGAAATTATTGGAGAGGTCGAGCACCTGCAAGCTAAGCAGTCCTCCGCCACCGCTGTCGGAGACGAAACCGACCGGGCCGGAGAGGTTGTTGTTGCTGAGGTTGAGGTAGAGGAGGGAGGGGGCGAAGCGGGGGAAGGAGAAGACGCCAGAGAAGCCGTTGAATGAGAGGTCCACGGCGGCGACGAAGGGGAGGGAAAGGAGCGGAGCGGGGAGCGCACCGGAGAGGTTTTTGCCGGAGAGCCGGGCGGCGGAGACGTGGCGGGAGGAAGAGTCGCACGTGAGGCCTTCCCACGTGCAGAAGGAGGTGGTGGAAGAGTTCCAGGTGGAGAGGGAGTGGAGTGGGTCGTCGGTGGATGATCGGATGGATAACAGAGTCTGGAGCTCTTGAGCTCGGGTTGATAATAGTAGTAGCAGCAGCAGGAGGAGAGTATGCAAAGCATAAGCCCTCATCTCTCTCTCACTCTCTCCTCTATTCGAGCGTGAAGAAAGGGATGGGTGAGAAGAAGTTGGAAACGAAGCGAGAATACATATAGACAGGAAAGGGTGATGAATTGGGTGGGAAATGTCGATAATGGGGCTTGACTCAATTTTGAATGTGATGGCGTGTGTCACATGAAAGGTGGGGGAGGGGGGATGAGAAGGATGACACTTGTACTCGACTGTGCATATACTGCAACCAAACTCACGTGTCCTGTCCTATGTACAAATATTTGAACCCAACAATTAAGAAAAAAAAATAGAAGGAAAAATAAAAATATTGAAGCGTCACACACTCATGTCTTATCAATGTGTTACGGCTTGTCACATCATGGAGAGGGAATGACACAGATGATCATGATCTGATCATCATCATGCTTGTGAGTAGAAAAGTTCTGATCATCTCATCAGATTCACAAGCGGACTCTGCAACCCTATACAAGCCTCAAGCACGAAGACCTCCGGCCTGTTCAACCCTGGACATGGATGGCCTTCGTTCAAGGCTGCGAATCTGCCATGGCTCTGATTTCATTCAGTGCCTTCGGCAAAGAGAATATGCAAGGAAAGGAAGACAAGGGAAAGGTGGGAGACATCATGAGAGCCCAGATCTGATTGACTCTCGTACGCAGCCTTTTTCTGTACCCACACCCCTACCAGTCTCTTCCTTTCCCTCGTAGTGCTGTCTTAGTCACACCAAGCACGCTTGTTTGCCTCCCTACCTCACACTCTCCTTCGCTTTCCCTTTGGCCCTTTGCTCCTGGTTCACTGGTTCCTTTTCTCGTGTGTGGCACTGTTTGTGTTACTGTACTATGTTTCAGTTTTCAAAGCATATGGGTCATCCTCTTCCCCAGTGAGCTCTCCTTATCTAGTTCAGATGTCCAATGAGCAGGAGGATTAGGTTTCTCTTACACAAATGCTGGTGTTTCCCAAAGGAGAAGCTGATACATTATTGTGTACAAAGGGTGGCATCCGCTGTTGGATGATTCAGGCATGCTGGTAGTGTGTGGCCACAGCACAATAAAATAGATACTTAACAATGGAGGAGACAACTTGCATGTATCATGGATAATCTAGATTGTTTCATTAGAATAGGAAAAATCATGGAAACAACCATTTTACTTGCAAAGTAAAGCTGTGTATAGTAATTCAAAACATTAAAGTTTTGTGATTTATGCTAAGCCAGTCCATGATAACTTCAGAAGGTAAAATTGAACAGCAATAACAGTCTTTACTAAGTATCTAATGTTTCTACTTCATGATTAATGATGCATGAATAAAGACTCAGAAAATTACAAGAACATTGTATTCTTTATCTTGTAAACATATTGTGGATTGACTCACCTGAACCTCTTCCAAACTCTTGCCAAAAAGGACTCAGATGATCTTGTCCTCTTGCTGAGATATTTCCAGGTGGTGAAACTGGACTCTGGCTAACAGGAGGAGATCTAAGCTTCAGCAACATCAAAGGTCCTTCTGCTGATTGAGCAAGTTCACCTGAGTGTGCATCCATGATAATTTATGGAGGAAACACCTGAAAGGCATTCAATTTGTTCAGTTAATAATTATCCATGAATTTAGTAGCAAAATGGAAGTCAGCATTGATCCTCAAAACCATATATTTATAGTTCAACCTTCTCTCTAGCTATTTTTAATCTCTGATGAAAGCTGGAATTCCAGCTGAAAGCTAATTATCACTTTACAGCAAAGAGACTATTATTTATTTTCCTCAGAGAAAGATGGAAGGGAGAACCCCCACCCCACATGTATATATCATTTCAAATCGATGAAAGCTTACAGAGTAAGAACCACAGAGCCAAGAAAGAAAGAAGCCAAAGGAAGAAAAAGTAAACAAAGGAAACACAAAATCACAAGTTTTTTTCTCCCACAAAGCAAATTCCAGGTTAGCCAATTCACAAAGAACATCAGAGTCTTGCCATGGTTCATGAACATTCTAATGTAACAGCATCACTAATTATGATTCAGACTGCCAAAAACTTGGCACCTATTTGCATGCAGACCAGAGATAAAAGATCAAACTGTGAGCAAACGATGGAATCTAAACATATATATAAATGCGACCCACCTTTTGCCAAATTCACAGCTTGGCTCATCATCATCACTCTCTGGCACAGAATTCCACAAAAATACACCAAGAAACCCATCTGATGCCCTGTCCGAGATAATTACTTTAACTCAATCAAAGTGCAAGTATTTGTGTCAGATTTGAACTGACAAATCGATTCCGGAGGGTTTTCATCAAGCACGCCATCATATGCGGTCGATTCTCTTCTCCTTGTGCTCGACATTCAAAGAACCTGGAGAGGGTTTGCCAACTGTTGATTTAAGGGGAAAGAAAGAATACAAGTTCAACAAACGAAAGGGATATCCTGCCGAATTTTCATCGAACAACAAGAACCAGAAAGAAAGGAGGTACCGTCGATGTGAAGGACCTTTTTTTGGGCCGGAAATAAAGCCCTAGTGCAGCTGCCGGGGAGGGACCGGAACAAGGACGCGTGGAAATCGAAGGGAAGGGGAAAGGGAGTGGGAATTGCCGAGAGTGTCGCAGCGACATGCGACGGCCCATCACAAGCCCAAGCAATCTTTGGCCTTTCTTTTAGGCAAGTAAATATGATTATTATGCCAAAAATAAAGACAAAATTGCATATATATATATATATATATATCCTTTTAAAACAGATAATTTTTATAATTATTCCTCTATATATAAGTAGACGATTAAATCGCCTTTGTAAAGGAAAAAAAAATTTGTCTAAGATAGTATACTATTAATAGTTAAATACAAATAGCTTCATAATCAACACTTCATGGGCTTAGTGATGACCTGTTCAGTGGCCACAGCCTAAGCAGGGCAACATGGCCTTCTTTTGCATGAGAAGATCATCCTTCAAACTACTCTCTCTCTCTCTGTGTCATCTTACACCCTACAGCTTGAATTCACTTGCCCTTGAAAGCCTGCACAGGGGGGAATCATTTGAAGCTGCTGCTGATGGTAGCACTTGCAGAATCCATTCCCACAGTGTAGGTTTTGTGTCATCCAGGAACAAAATCAACAACTGATATTATATTCTTGCTTCAGAAAAGCACTGCAAATGGCTAATTGCAAGGCCTCAGTTTACCATGAACATGCTTCCTGTCACAAGAATCTGAAGCAGCATATATGGAATCTCAGAGTTGAGCAGAAAGTAAGAATTTGGAGTGAGATTCTCTACTCTCTGCTTCTGAAGCACAATCACCAACTCCATGAGTAATTCCTTAATACTCAACAAATCCAAAAGCAGATTCATTTCATTGTTGCATCAACAATCACTGAAGGGAATTTGTGATAGAACACAACCACTCAGATATAGGTAGAGCTGTTCATTCAACACAACACAAAAGCTTTCTCCTTTGTAGGAATCTTAAACAGAGGGAAGAATGGTGCCAAGGAAAACATACGACACAAGCCCTCATTAGAAACAGTGAGGTTCTAATAATTTCTTGCCTTTCCACTTGCCTAATCCACAATCCATCTTTTCTCTACCACACAAACTTTTTTCTTTCCTCGCTCTTATCTCTTCTTTTAGACTAGCCGTTGTTGCATCTCCATCCTCTCTAGAAGACCAAAGTCCACATACTAAGGGAAATGAATAATTGATATGGACCCCCTCCCCCCCTTTGTTCTTAATATTATTTTGGAGCAGATGGATGTGCTTGCAACTTTGCTTGCAAAGAAGGTGCATCTTGGCCTACAATCAAGACAACATGTATTCCTTTACGATGTAGATGATCAACTTTTTTACTATTAAGCAAGAAGTATTATAAGCATCTCTTGCAATAATGTGGCCAATACAGCCTTAAGCAGTACAGTCATGGTAGGAAATATGGAGACCTTTTGGCTCAACCTTTATAATTATGCATTAGACAGAGAGAACACCACTTACATACATAGTCAACCAACCTATCTTTTGCACTGTTTCCTATCTTCTTTCATGAAAACTACTGATTGTAATATCAGGTGAGCTTGATCAGTTCCTCGAACAACAGTTTGCACATATTTACTAAATTTATAGTCTCAATCATAAGCTACCTAACTTGTTAGCTTTTTTATATGATGTGGTGCCAACCTCAAGGACCTGAAAGGGAGACTAGAAATGCTGGCTAATCAATCCACTGGCACTTCTCTAGGTTGGGACAAGGGGCTTTCTTCAGTTTTAGGTAATCCAGTGAAACAGTTCAAAGGGAGCTCACATGCTTTGTGTCAGCTCAGGAACGCTAATGCTTTCCTTTTGTTTTGCTTTGCTCAGAGAAAAGGTGTGCTAGAATCCCCTTTGGCTATGCTTCTGCTTTGCTAATGGATAAGAACTCAGAACAGAGGATATTCCTGCAGAATTCACATCGGTTTCTGAGTCTTACATGGAGCAGCAGGCTGTGGGAGTCGAATGAACTGTGAGTTAATGCTGGGTTTCTATGCCAAGTTATTTCCCCTCTGTCTTAATCAAGAGAATAAGATAACTGCAACCTAGCTTAGATGATGTCTCTTTCATGATCCACAACCAAGACAACAATGATCGTCTGCACTTCTTTCCAGAAAGTTAAGGTGTCAGATGTCAAACTGCTGATTTCTTTCATACGAAGAAATGACCGAGTCCCAGTTCTTACTGTTGGTTTATTGCTCACCAATACGGTCCGGTATATTCCCACGCGTATTTCTCGCCAATACCTTGATTGGAGTGCACACAAGGCTGCCGCAGAGAATCCAGGCACCGAGCAGCACCACCACCCACCCAGTGGATCGGAAAGGGGAGAAGACCGCAGGAAGGAGAAGAAGAGTATTACTGTTTGCGGCACGTGGTTTTCATGCGGATTCTGAAATTAACGAGGCAAGAAAAACAATAATCATTATTTTTTGGGGCATTTTTGGTTTGAAAATATTAAAAATCAGCATACTAATTTAGAATATTAGTATCATCCTTTTCTCCATTTAGAATATTAGGAAAAAAATAATTAAAGAGATTATTAGGAAAAAAATATTAAATAAGAAAAGTAAAAACTGATACATTTAGAAATAAATCAAGAAAAAAGGTCTTTTCAACTCAACCAAAAAAAAAAATTGACATAAATTGACAGAACTGAGTAACTTCCAGAAATTTGGATAACCAATGACTAAAAAAATGTCAATTTGTAATAGAATTCTAAAAGAAATGTAAGAAATCAGCATCCACATTGAGAGGTATGGTAATGCATGGTTGCATTAAAAGCTGCACACCAATAATGTAATGAAGTCACTCTTATGCTTTTCTTTCTTTGTTGGGAGACCAGATTTTGTGGTGTACACGTCAACATTTATGTCTGGGCCCACTTACCTGCCACGTGGATGGACAGGTGTCACCAGTTCCTTGCTGCCAACCTTTTGGAGAAGCACAATTAGCTGCCTTCTCCGACCAACCCTAATAATGTCTTCGACTAGCTAAGTTTAATCCTACCAAGTGATTTCCTCGGCAATTATCACCGTTCTTTTATTGGTTTCCATGCTCTATAAATGGACTCCTCTCCTGCCACCCTCTCTCTCAGCCCAAAAACCTCTCTACTTTCTCCTCTCTCTCTCTCTAGAAAAGAGAAGGAAGCAAGTCAAAGGACAGCACCTGAGCATGGTCCATATGGAGCCGTCCAGAGCAGCCAAGAGGCTGTGGCGCGTAGTGAGGGTGGTGCTCTACATGCTCCGGAAGGGACTCTCCAAGGACAAGTTCATGATGGATCTCCACCTCCTCATCGAGCGCGGCAAGATCGCCGGAAAAGCCCTCGGTAACCTCATGACCTTCCACCACCACGACCCGCGTGAGGACAGAAGCTTCGTGTTCTCGGGCTTCTCGTGCCGGTCCACGGACCCCAACCTCTCCTTCTACAGCCCCATGGAGGTGGAGTTCAGCTGCAGCAACACGCCCGCGTACCCCTCCTTCCGTGCCGTCAAGCGAAAGAGCCGCCGCCGCCGCCGCTACCACGACGACGACTACGATTACGATGCAGCTGCGGTAGCGAAGGCATTTGAGATACTGAACTCCGAGTTATCGGATGCCGAGTCGGTCGTGGCATCCCCATCGCCGGCGCCGGTGATCTGGAGCTTCGGGAAGAGCCCGGCGGTGGTGCGACAACTGCGGATTACGGACTCGCCATTCCCATCGAGGGAGGAGGACGACGACGTGGACATCCACATCGATGAGAAGGCAGAGGAGTTCATCAGGAGGTTCTACGAACAGCTTCGTCTTCAGCAGAGGACTCCAATGACGCCGGAATTCCAGCGCTACCGGCGTCAACCATTGATGGGGCGAGCCTGAGACGATGGTTCTCTGTGACCGATTCTACGTAGACAAGAATGCAATCTATGCTGCTTACAGCTACTCTGCTTTCAGTAATGAAGGAGATATGTATGTATGGAGGTGTACATAACTAGATGTTTTCCTTTTTCTTATTCCCTCTTCGATGCATCAAACAGTGAACTCCTTTCATGCTTTGGTTATAGACCGAGCGTTCACTGAGAAGCTTCGTTCATGTAAACATTCCATTCTGTATTCTAGTAGAATATTTGTGGTATTTCCTTTTGTCTCTTCTGCTTCGGAGGATCTGCTGGTAGAAGTTCCATTTCTTTCAAGATTCCAGGCAGTATCAGACAATTCTAATAATTGGAAGGGAAGACACTGTCGCATACGAATGGGAAAGGGATACCTGAAATGAAAGAGGACATAAGCCAAAGGCATCTGTTTTGTGGTGTCAAAGTGATTGGAAGTCATATCAAATGGATAAGGCCAACAGTAGTTGGATTGCTCTACTTCACATGTGTGTGTGTGTGTGTGCTAACAAGAAGAAGAAGAAGGACATGTACACATCTCTCTTGAAGAACAATATGGTAGGCTCAAACATCTCGAGGTTCATCAGATCCTTCGTGGATTTCTTGATTGCTAGCTGCTTTTAAGCCTCCTTAAACCCTTGTAGAAATTAGAGAAACAAGATCTTGATCCGTTTCTAGACACCAACTCTTGCTGAAGTATCAACATGTTCTTGAGAGACTTGTGCTTGTTCGAACAAGCTGTTCGTCTATCAGTCGTAAGCTGTGTTCAGTGGAAATGCATTATCGAAAGAGAATGACAGGCATTAGCCGCAAGAATTCAAAAGTATTGTAGTCATTTTCTCTGCATTAACCCCTTTTGTCCATCTAGGAAAAGGACATGATAATTTCCACTGATAACATTTATTGATCTGACAATGTCAAGAAACCCTACTGGCTAAGCAGGCATCTCTTCTGATGCATCCATGGATGTGACAACAAACCTATACTAAATGAGAGTGAGATTGTTCAGCTATAATATTATATGTTGACCAAAGTCTCCTGGTTGATTCATGTCTTTGGAGGCATTGTTCTTTTGCTACACACAAACTTGCAATATCATGCATAGTTAGCAAGAATCTCTTTTGCCATTGCCAATTCCACCTCTCTTGTTGCAAACAACAATCATGCATTCATGCACATCTGGATATGTGCAACCACCCCTCCAGGAAATATATATTCTTGGGAATCAAACACAATGATGCTCCCCATTTGCAAGGCTTTTTCATGTGATTCAAGTTGGTTCTACTTCATGATGTATGTAGCATTGAATATATAATTGCAGTGCCCACAAGCTGCAAAGAAGAGGGGTGAAATGAATTGGAGGTTGAAGAACTCACAAAGCTGTTGTCTCCTTTTCATTGCCATTGCACTGATTTAAAATCTCTAGACATAGAATGGAGAATTGAAGTAGGTGGATTGATGATGAGAGCAACATGATTAGACTTGTCCATATATTTGTTCCTTGTTGAAAGCAAAAGACTTTTGGGACCATAAATCTTGCCTTTTTTGGTCGCTTTAACTTTGTACTGCATGCTTGCCCACCCCCCATGGCTAATGGACTGTTACTTTGTGAGAGTTGCCATTACTTTTCTTATGTTAATCAATCACAAGTAGCTCACAATTTAGTGCACTAACATTAAATTATTTGATCCATAACACCACTAAGTTGCCATTACTTCTCTCTCTCTCTCTCTCTCTCTCTCTCTCT